TGGGTTAAATAAAAGTATTAAAATCCACTTTACCTGTACTTTTTACTCTTTAAATGTGTGGCTACTAGAATTACCTGTGTGGTTTGCACTATATTTCTATTGAACATCGCGGCTTCAGACGCACAGGGGCCCCACCAGGGTCAGCTGACAGGTGCAGTCTTGCAGTGGCGAGGGCCCTTGTGACTCTTCTGGACCACTGTGGCCAAGTGGGCCTGCTGCTGGGCTGGCAGTGATTGGGGGGTTGGGGGGACTGGGGGCCAAGTCCAGGGCAGCTGGCCAGAGAGAGCTGATGGCTCCAAACCAGTTAGGTAGGTTGGCCACCCAGGTTTATTTTCAACGCCTTCCACATTGTGGAGTCACAGAACTTGGATCTGGAGGCGCCCTTGGGGACCTGCCACCTATTGCACCGGTAAGAAAATAGGGCAATTCTCTGTGATAAGCAACTAAGTCAGCAGTCCAGAAGCTAGATTCCAAGTCCCAATCCTCACCTCGATTCCACACAGCCTCCCCTTGGACTCTGAGGAGCTTCAAGACCCCTCCACACATGGCTTGACCCACCTTTGCCAGCGCAGAGCCCTCTGCCAGCTAAGCTCCTTGTCCCTTCCTTCTATCCAGCTCCCTTTGGACAAGCAGCTACTTATTCTTCAGGTCTCCATCGCCTGGAAGCTCTAGGGCAGGGTCCTGGTGACACACATGCACGGGACACAACCAGCACACAGGCAAAACAAGGCGTGTTATCAATAGGTTGTTAAATGAGTGGTGGTGCTTCCTCGGCGACCCTTCCTGAATGCCCCACCCACACCAGCCCAGGCCCCCGTGACGCCCACTTCCCTCACAGACTGTGTCCCAGCTGAACTGTGAGCTGCCCCAGCAGGGTAGGGACAGATATTACATTCCCCACTTTTTCCAGAGCCTGGTGTGGAGTCAGTGCTCAGGAAATAATGAAAACCTGGGCAAAATTCTTCCCTGACATAGGGACAGATGTCCAGGCTTCCTCTGCCAACTTCCCACTGTCCCAGGCAAGGTGGCTCCTGAGTCTAGCAGTCCTGCCTGTGACACAGGACTTCAGCTCTTACTAGAGGAGTGGCTTTGGGTGTATCCCTCATCTGCTCTGAATTCCAGGGGGTGACAACAGTGAGGAGTGAAAGAAATTCAGGCTTGAAGCACAGCCCCTCGAGCATACTGAGTGCTATGACCATCATTATGACTACTTAGGAGGTAGCAGCGGGTCCCTTGGGACACCCAGGGAACACTCAGTGTTTCACTGAACCCACTATCGGGTGTGTGCATAGGACCCCCAGGTCCCCTGCCTCACTCAATGCAACAGAATCCTCACACCAGCCAGCACAGAAAACACTGCTTTTATTAACTGCGTTTGCCAACACACGAGGAGTGCAAAGGGCTCCCTGAAACACAGGCCCTGGGGGCCAGGTCTGGAAACCCCATGAGTGAGCAGGACAGGATGGGACTGGGAGCTATGCAGCAGTGGCAACACAGAGTCATGCAGGGCACGGCGGGCTCTGGCCGCACCAGGGCGGCCATACATTCTATTGCTCGTTAAGGGTAGCGAACACGGACAATGTACAAAAAGGAGAAATAGGTCTTTGCGTTAATGAAAAATACATTTTTTCTCTACAAAGGAATCTTTTCTAATACAAGAAAATAAATATTGCAACATAAGCCAAAAATAATTTAAAATTGCTCTTTTCAATATATTTTCAGTATTTCTCTTGTATATTAACAAATGGCACATCACTTTCTTTGAAACAAAGACAGAAGGTGTTTCCTCCTGTGACATTCATATCATCCTCCCACCCCGAGCCGACACGGAGCACAGTGTTGTGCATCTGAGGGGCAGGGTGGCAGGAAGTGCCTTAAAGAACAACCAAAAGTCCCAGACTCCAGCCCTGGCTCTTTGGCCAATGTGGCCAGCTGGACCAGAGGCATGGGAAGTGGCCTCCCCCAGGGCCTTGCTACAGGCATCCAGACCCTTCTGCAGAGCTCCAGGCATGGGCAGAGGTTGGTCACATCTGGCAGTGAGCAAGGAAATGCCCCAGCAAGTCCTATAGTGCGCCCACCCACAACAGACACACATGCTTGTGGACGCACAAGACGTGCCCTAGCATGCACTCACACACCCACAGTCCAACACCCACGTCTGGAAACCTGGGTGGCTTCTCCAAGGAAACCGAGACCCTTACACTGCAAATGCTCACACAGTCACCAGGTCAGAGCTCATGTCATGAAATGAACTCTTCTACCTTTCTTCTCCTTATTTGTTGTAAAATACATTTATGATCCATAAACATCCTTTCCTTGCACATTATCCTTTCTCACTGATGAGGGGAAGGAGGTGGCGGGCAGCCAGGAACGGGAAAATGGGGATGACAGCCGGGATGAACGACTGAGCAGCTCCTCCCTCCGAGAGCCGGTAGGTGTGGGCAGGTGTGGTCAAATGCAAGCTCTGCCTCAGCTTCTGGCCTGGAAAAGGCCTTCTGCGTTCACCTCAGGGGCAGCAAAGCCATCAACACGGGAGACAGTGGGCCAGAAAGAGTGAAGGGCCCTGGCTAATGGCGCAAAGGAGAGTGGTGGGGTTCAGCATCCTTATCCTCCTTGCAGCCTGGTGGACAGCTGCTTGGTGAGGACAGCTCAAGGGCCTGGCCTAGGAGTGAAGGGGCCTCCCCGCCAGCAGCCTAACAGACACCTGGGCTCTGTGCCTGGCATGGCCCCAGGGATAGCCCAGGCAGAGCAAGAGCCAAGTAAGAGGGGTCGGAATCCAGAGGTCCCCTGAAGAGCGCTGGGTGCCCCGTCTGGCCAGACCCACTGCACTCCCTCCCTGGTTCTCCCCCGCCCCCCCCCCCCCCCCTGCCAGGGAGCCCAGAGTCTGCCTCAGGATGGATGAAAGGGTCAGGGGGCAAGTGCTGAGTCTACTGGACTTGAGCCATTGCTGGCACCCCTACCCCCACCCCCTGGGCAGAGTTTGGTTGTTCTTTAAGCTCGTCCCTTTGCTACCTGCAAGGTCAAACTGGGCAATCCAGCATAGACGAGGCTATGACCCAAAGCACAAGGAAAGGAGGTCTGTTCAAAGGCAGTAAACAGAGAATGGAGTTGGGACGTTGATGTTGACACTGCACTGGCCATTACTACCAAGGTGGCAGGAAGACTAAACTCTACACGGTGGCTTGTGACATCCCAACGTTCAGTATCCTGGAAGCCTGCTCCGAGTCCACTCCAACGGGACACATTTGTCCGAGCCTCCGAACTTAGTCATTATCTTTGTTTCCTGTTTTGCAAAAAATTCACATGAAACTGAGTGTCGATGACGACGCCACTGTCGTACCTTGATAGTTTTGGAGTCGAGGGTGGGTGGTCAAGCGGCTGCCCATCCCGCTGATTTGCGTGTTGTGTATTTGCGTGGGGGGAACCACACGGTCAAGACTCTGGCCATGCTGGTTTTGCCGCCAGGGTTCCTCCCCGCTGTGAGTCTGAGATTAGGAGAGCTCACAGTGGGCCCAGCCCGGGATCAGAAATCCCACACCCAGTTCCCAGTTCCCAGAGTTGAGCAGAATAGCATCCTCTTCCGAGAGCTTGAACTCGTCTCCTTGGGTGTGCGCAATGAACATGTTTCTGGTACTTTGTTGCTAAAGAATTCCATTAAAAAAAAAAAAAAAAGTCCAAGTGACAAGTTGTCAGGTCCAGGCTGTGCTGTATTATGGTCAAAATATTCTTTGGCATCCACAGAATGATTCGACTGATCCACTGGACTTTTGCAAGGTTCTTGGTGGAGAAGTTCTGGCTTTACCAGTGGTGGAAGTGACCCAGGAGTAATTCACAAAAGAAAACAAAAAACACGTTTTCACTGAATTCCTTTTTTTGTTTGTTCCCTGAGCTATCACCCTGGGGCCACTCCACTAAAAAACTCTTCAGAGCAGCTACCTGGGACCTAGAGGGTGGGGTGGGAGGCGGGGG